CAAATGGTTTTTTTTGTTGTTTAGACATTTCAACAAAAATTAATTTTAATTAAATTAATAAAGATATTTATATAAAATTTTATGTATTGTTTTGTCATATAATTCGATATTTATTATATTATTATTTGTATTATTTTGTATTATTATAATTTTTTTATAATATTTTTATATTAAAAATTAGTTATTTGATATTATTATATTTAAATTTGTCATGCTATATTTATTATTTAATTTTATTAAATAAAAATTTGTTATATTATATTAAAATTTGTGTATTATATTAAGATTTGTCAACATTTGGCAATTCAAAGTTAAATGATGACTTTTGTCACTTTATGTTTAATATTTATCAATTAAAATGGCAAGGAAGTATTCTATTTCAGCTTTACTTAGCCAAAGTTCAAAAAAAAAAAAACTTAAAAAAACAAAAGTTATTTGTAACTGTGATAAATACAATGGATTATTTATTAACCCATGAACAGAGTTTTTGCATAGATACTAAAAAACAAAAACTAAAAACTCGACAGATCAAAAATTTACTATTTGGAAAAGAACTAAGAATATTTCACTAAATTGAATTATGACTTTAAGCAATAATTAACAAAATTCAATACCAAATAATATTAATGCTAAAAATAACAAATCTGAATTCAAAGTCAAAAATAACAAATCTGAATCTAAAGTTGATAATGAATTTAACAGCAGTTCTGATAACATATTTGAAAAATATTTGACTTCTAACTATGAAGTTTCACTATATTTTAATGAATTTGCTGATAACTGTTTTATATGGATTTTATTATAGATTATAAACTTTAGAATAAGATTTAATTTGCCGGATATTGTAATAGAAGCACCTATAAAATTCATGAAGTTGATATTAATTAAAATTGATGGCAGTGAATATGAACTTTTTTGTGGATCATTATACATGGCCAAAAAATTACTTGGATTATTGGATCAATTCATTAATTTTGTAGTATGTCAAAAATATTACAAATTATATAAACAAGATGATGTACTAAGTTTTTGAAAAAACAATTGGTTATTGATAATGAAGTATATTTATGTTAAATTTCCAAATTCAATAACTTAAAGAAGAATTTGTAATACTCTATTATCTATATAGTTCAAAATATTAAATGGAAGCATTTACTGGCCAAAATTAATTTTTTTTTATACAACTATTTGGTAACAATTATTTTAGATATATCAAAATTCAGATTTTGAATCTAATTTTTGGCACTGTATGAATTGATTAAACATTAATGAATTATTATATGATATTTATAATAACAATATTGAAAAACTTTTAAGAATAGAAATTCCAAATTATTTTTTAATAAAGAAAGCTGATTTGCATTTGGAATTGATATTAGTCACGGGACATTTCCCTTAATCAAGACTCAAAATGTTATTTTTATAATACAATTTATATTGTGTGTAATAACAACGGGAGGGAAATGTCTCTTAACTGATATTGAATATTAATTAGTTTTAATCATATGATAACAAAATGCATAGTACTGGCATTATATATATAGTTATTGATAATTTGCCATGTGATATACACTTTAAGCAAGAAAATATACTGATTATTGACATATTACCAGGTTCTAGTAAATCAAGTTTACACAAAATAAACTATTATTTTGTATCAATTATTGATAAATTGATGCAATTATGACAAGGAATAATGTTAGAATCGACTGCCAAAAATAAGGAAGGAAGAATAATTCTGGTGGCTTTAATTTTAGTATCAAGTGATATTCCTACAGTATACAAAGTATGTGAACATATTTTGGCACTAGTATCTTGTCATTGTTGTAAAAAAAAAGTTAACTATATGGATAATCAACATTACTTTGATGGTATAAAAAATATGAACAAATGATTTATACTATAATATTTGATAACACATATATGAAATACTATCAAATTGAAAAATTGAGATACAAATGTAATACAAAAGCATTTTGTCAATAAGAATCTAACTAGATGATCTGAGTTTTTTTGCTTACCTTATTTTGATCCTATTCATATTTGGTTATTGATCCAATGCACTGTTTTTTTTTTTAGGTATTGATAAATGGCTTGTTAAATAAATATGGATTAAAGAAGGGATATTGATTAATAATACATTAGATAAAATATAAGCAATAATAGAAAATTTTCAAGTACTATCTAATATTAGCTGAATTTCAAGAAAAATAAACTGTAAAAAAAGTTTTTCAAACTTTATTGCTGACCAATAGAGAAATTTTTTTATAATATATGCAACTATTGTTTTATGAAAATATCTTTTGAAAATTGATTTTTGAATATTAATTAATTTTGTTAAAATATATTAAATATTAGTATATCAAATCATAAAATGAGAATTATTAAACGAAGCTTATAAAAGACCAATAACAATAATTAAGTTAATTAAGTAAAAATATAATAAAGAAAAAATTATATCAAATCTTTATCTTTCTTTATATCTATATGAATATGTATATAATTATGGACCATTGTATGCTTTTTGGTGTTTTTCATTTAAACAAATGAATAATTTGTTAGGTAGACTTTTTTATAATTAATATTTGTAAAATAATATTCTAATAAATTTTAAATTTAGAATTATTGCCTAATAGTTATCAAAATATTGAGCCCAAACTAATATGAAGATTAGTGAATGATCACTAAATTATTAATCTAACTACATTCTATTATAATAATATAGGACTTGAAATCTTAAATAATTAATCAAATATCAAATCAATTTTAAAATTGGATTAATTTTTAGTAAACAAACTATGCTGATTCTTAAACAATATATATAATATTCAAGAGACAGTTATCAATGGATTTAAACAATTTTCTGCCAAATTATTATATTCTAAAAAATTAAATTTAATTGTATCTTTTGAAATCTTAGATTTATTGGTTAAATATTATAAAGCTTTTTATGAAACCATGAACTTTCGAAGATTATTCATTAAAGATATTAATAATAATTCAATAATTGTTCAAAATAGAGCTGATTAATATGGAAAATGCTAAATTGGAATCGAAATTTTTATATTATCACAAAATATAAAAGATTTATTTGTTTTAGTCTGATTTGTGAATCATGATAAAAATGTTGATTTATATCTAGGACAGGTTCAATTTTTCTTCACTTATTTAGTTAACTTATTAAATAATATGACAAAACATAATTTGGCTTTTATTCGATAGTTTAAACTTGTTAATTTGGCAAATATCAGGTTCTATTTTGAATTCAAAAAATAATGTGAATGTTGAATTATGAAGTACTAAATTTTATTTACTTAGATATGAATATATAATTATTATTCACAATATTTTTTGCCAATTTATTTCATTTAAATATAAGATTTCAAATTAATAAGATTTCATAAATATTTAGTTATTATTTCTTTAAATTGCAAATACAATATATAAAATTTCATCGAAACATATATAATTCGACAATATAATATAATTTGGCAAAAATATATATATGGCAAGATAATATAATTCAGCAAAATAGTATAATTTAGTAATATATATTTGGCAAGATAATATAATTCATCAAAGTAATATAACTTGACAAATTCATAATATATACAGAATATATATTTGGTGCAAAAAATAAATTATTCATTTTACTGTCAAAATATTAACTTCTTCAAAATGAGGTTTAAAAAAAGAGTACCATTTATGTGCCAAATAAATTATATGTCATTTTATAGCTGAAGATAAAAATTATATAAATTTGATTAGTTACATCATATACTTTTTTGACAAATGATTGACAAGTGGCATTATGCCAAATAAATCAATTTTGATTAGTGTTATACAGTATATGTATTCATTGTTTACATGTTTACATTCTTTGATCTTTCTATTTTATCCAAGAAATTTCCATTCCAAAATTTTTCATCTATTAATACAACCTAACATTATTTACAATTGGATGAACCTGTATATTCCACAAAGGAATTACAAAGTATAGTTTGGATTAGCTTTTGGCATTTTGATCATTCATTACATATACAATAGACCTGGTGCAGTATCACGAAAATATTGTCTAACAAGTGTCTCTCATCAACATGGTGAAATTGCTATTACTTTCCTATTAGCATTAACAAAAATTGGTGCAGTGTCGTATTTACGAGAAATATCTTAGTATGATTCATTAAGCAACAAATTTATTAAATGTAAGACGGAGTGAAACGTGAAAATGAATATTTAATATAAATATCAATATCAATCTCGCATTGATTATTTTTTTTTTCTTAGTTATTAATACTCCCGATAGCACCATTTATTTCAATCGATTCTAATTCATTATGTATCTTTGTATCTGAAATAAAACCTTGTCACTTTATATCAAAACTAGTGATAATAGTCATGTGATTTTAAAACAAAAACTGCACCTTTTTAAATCACATGACATCAAATATTTAAGTGACGTTTATTTTTTAAAAAAGTCGCGTTTTCTTTTTCACTAAAATGAAAATAAAATGAGGCCCGTAAATTTTACGTGATCATTTGATAATAGAGATAAAAAAAAAAAGGAAGAATAGGTTCCATAAGTGACAAGTCTGAAATTGCTGTAACCTTTACAAAAAACTTAAATTATGTCACGACCAACGTGACTAAACATAGCAAGCATTTAGAAACACGGTGGAATACCTTTCAAAACATCATTACAAGAGGTAAAAAAATACTCGATGAATGTCAGTTCCTTACTTTACAAGATTGTAATCAATATTGGATAAGACTTGCAACTGAATACTATAGAGAGGTATACAATATATTAAATTCAATATTATTTAGGTTGCATTATTCACGATATTCTTTTTCTTTATTATAAGAAAGGAATCTTTATCAACTTCAACACAGATCCAATTCAAGAAATAGAATAAAATTGAACAAAAGCGGGTAGCGACCTTGACCACAAGACAGGAGAAGGTACCGTGAAGCCAGGCTTCTGAAAAATTATTTGTATTATGATAATATCAAAAGGTCAGCGATAATATAAATCAATAGATCATCTGCCTTTATTGACTATCCATATTGTGTCTACCTGTAGTGGATGATGCAGAAGACGACGAAAACAAAAGTGAAAGTGATAAGGACCATTATGAAACTGAAAATGAAACAGGCACGAGTTTTACTCGTTGTTTATAAATATTAAATTTATGTGATGAGATTATTTATGTCTTTGTTGTCCATTTTCTCATAAGAAATGGAGAGTGAAAACGAAAGCGATGATTGTACAACTGATGATGAATTCATTCCCTGATCCTAAGTTATACTTTCTCGAATTTACACTGAATTTCATTTTAGTTATTTTAGCTGAAACAATCGATATTTCCGGTCTCGAGGTAGTAGATCAACATGGCGAACCGAAGAAATGGGTACTTGAAAATTGAGTTCCAGATATAACTGATAAAGAAAATGATATGGTAAAAAATTATGTATTTGATGTATTTGAGTTACACTTATTGACAGTGGTGTCACTGCAATATATAATTATAATAATAATCATTTTTTGTCACAATATTTATCACTAACGTAATGTAGAAAGTACTAAAGGTCTATTAAAGAGAAAAAAGTTGACCTAGATCCAATGAATGCTTCGCTCATAAAAAAATTTTTTTGGATACATGGTAATATCATCGGCTGACTCTCAATCAATCCTTTATAAGTTTACTTGATATTATCATAGATTCTTAGGTCTTATAAGTGGAAATCAAAATCTAATGTAACCATAGCGAGTCAACGTATACGGCAACATGGATTGCGCCAGATTTAGAAATTTTGAAAAACAAAGACTCTTGTTTATTTAATAGCTTATGGGCAAAGGCAGAACGTATAGGAAGACAGGTAGGAAATGCGCCGGTATACTTCTATAAAAAGCAACCAACACAAAAGAAATATTGGTGTTTGAAAATGTTACTCTCCGAAAAAGGAGAAACGTCCGAAGTATTGCAAGTACACTGGGATTTTATTTTCAGTAATGTCTAGATTACTCTCCAATAAATTATTTCTTGAAAATTTTTAGAGATTTAAATAAGTCATTTCATAATGCAATCGATATTCTGTGTAAAAGATTTTAGACAAATAGGCAAGATGTGGAAATCTCCAGGAAATATAGGGAATTGGTTTATACAGTTAAGTTTCAAAATCGGGTTGTCTTTTCCTTTGGAAATAGACTTTAGCGTGATTTGCTTTCTAGAAACTTCTTACTGAAAGAATTACAAGTTGAAAATACCTTCGAAATTCGAAGATGGCTGGATGAAAATAGCGAATGTTTGTAAAATGTTGTTACTAAGGGGTATTCATCATTATTATTCACATCTATATTTGAATGAGTCTAACTTACTAAATGCAGGAACTTCCTGTAAAGGAACTTATTTCCGAGGTAATCAAAATAACTTTAATAGGGGCAACCTGCAGGAGTCGTGCTTAATTATTCGAATCCTCAGAGGCTGTAGGTAAGTGGTTTTTTAATTGTGTCATCCCAGAGAATTTTCGGGTGTAACAATGATTTTATCATTATTATACGAAATCTGCTCAAAAAAAAAGAATTTCGCGCGTGTAACAGAATGATTATCATTAAACCCAATTTCTCTACAAAAACTGCAAAAGAGAAAGAGACTCGAAAATAAGATTTAAAGCTTTTCCTATTTGACTAATTATTGTACAAAAATATAGTATACGTTTAAATAATCTTTGTCGCTATATACAAGCCCACTAGAAAAGGGAGTAGATCGAGAGCCAATGTGCCGGTCTCACGGCGGTCCCCTAACCTGGCTTTTCATGTAGTTCTTTTTTTTCTTTACTACAATCAGCTATGTAAAAACCGCCAGAAAAGGATCAGTGATCGGAATAGATCGAGAGTCTATGTGCCGGTCTCACAGCATTCCCCTAGCCTGACTCTTGCGTAGTTTGATATATGAAAATTGACTATAATACAATTCATTTTTTTTATTAATTAACAATTCATTTGCATTACTTTAGAGATTTTTTTAAATAAAAATTATCAAATGAAACGTGCATTTGATTTCCATTTTGTTACAAAAATGTTTTCTATTACGAAAGTACATTATCGGTGGCGCTTTGATACAGTATAGATAATTTTAATAACATATTAACATTAAAAACGTATCATTAGTTGATCTGTTAGCCCAACAATTGTTTAGTGCGGTTTATCTTAAATAGTATAAGTTATTCTGAAATTACCAGCTTTCTTAATAAATGAAGCATGGATACATCTCACATCACAGAAGCATAACCTATTATCTAAGAGAGAGGCCAGTGGAATTAATTCGACTGTAAGGTCATTTTAAAACATGAAACCATTAGAAAAAAAATATTGATATACCAACAACAAAATCAAAGTTTACCAGAGTACTAGACATAATCATTATATTATAGACAATGGTATTCAACAGAGTATCATCTCTAATTATGAGAAAGAAATAGTTACTGTTTATAAATGAACTTAAAAAAGTATTAATCTAGTATCTGTTTAATTATAATAAGGGAAATTTCGAGAAGTTTGTGCAATATGTAAATCAAGAATCCAGTAAACAAATAAGAAATTGCACTATGGAATTAATACATTTAGAATGAAGATACAAGTAAAGATATGAAAAAAAAATTCTTGCATCTATAAAACACCAATTTTTTGAAAATATTCGGGATATTGTTTTTTTCTTCCAAATCTTGGGTTCTCGCAAATTTTGATCAATATCGGAATAAAATTTTAACAATGATAATGAGAGGTACCAGCAATTAAAATAAATACAATAATCTCAACAATAAATATTTTGAAAATATAAGGCAACGATAGAGAATTATAATAAATTTCTCGAATATCAAGAATCTCTGGATTTATTGATATGCGTGATGTTGAACACTGTCGAGTTGTCTGATTATTACGATGGTATTTGAATATGAAAATAGTGGCTTTATTACGAATCCTTTAATAATTTTTGGTGATAATGAATGTATGTAAATTGTTTATTTCAAAAGCAACAAAATAACAATATTTTCAATATTTATTTAATCCATTGGAAACTGGAGGCTCAATGCAGCAGATATATTCATAATCCCAAACAAAACTTATGTTCAACTACCTCGCATTTTATGTCCTGGATCTCAAAGATGTATTTTAATTGTTTTTATACATTTAACAGGTGATATTTCCAATAAAGTACTGATAAATTTCTTCTTATAGGATCAACCACATGCCCGAATTATTTGCGAATTAGGAAATAGACAATCTACTCCAAACTGGAATGCTAAATGCCAATTATGGTTAAACCAAGTTATGTACGATGTGTACCTATCAAAAGGGATATTACAGATAGATGGCGGCTAGATTATAGGAACAAAATGTAAATAGATATCAAGAGGTAAGGTGATTATAGATAGTGGGACTACGGAACTCTCTTGTCCTTTAACTCTGATAATTTTACTGTACTCTAACCAAGTTAACTTTTTATAACTTTGTCAATTTCTCATCGTTTCAAAATCCCATTTTCTTTTCACAGTTCGTCAATGATAATTAACATCGCGATAATTATAATCATTCTATAAATAAAATACAGTACATAAGAAACATTATAATCGCGAATTCATTGTTCCAGCCAATTCTCGGGATCATAGCAGCTAAGAGACCATAATTGAATTTCCAGATTATTAGTGACTTCTTGAATTCATCAATTAAATAGTAAAGAGCCAGCGGACATAGGTATATAATTGAGAGGGCGGATTTTCAAACCAATATATAAGACACAATAACAATCATTATCTTATAAAGGTTATAATCTTTTTATTTAATCTCGCCACAAATATAACAACTTCGCATAGACTAGCCGTAAAAGGAAAGAAATTACTTTCCGATTCAGTTGCTAACAGTAGTTTTTCTTCCCTTTTTTTTTCTATTGAATATTTTAATTACACTTAATGACATGATGTTTATAACCATTGAGGCACAAGGTTAAATATTCACTCTACATTTTATTGAAGGGCAAAAGGCGAAAATTAAATGAGAATGCATAAAAGCCTTGAATGAGGCCTCTAAATTATAACTTCATTCTGTGTTTTAATAGTTAATAAATATACTTATAATTTATTTATTATCCTCCCATAGGTTCCTGGAAAGGGCATAATAAAAGCCGCTCTGATAACTGATGAAATAAATAAACCATATGCAGCCTTTTTACAACTAGTCTGGGTTTCGAATCACGTAACGACAAACATATGGTTAATTGAAAGAATGATCTATGGATGATACTTATCGTTATTTTAAAAGAAACTTCTATAAAGCATTCGCATGACAGATAATGTTTATTATTATAATTATTGAATAAATTTCCGATTGTCTAAAATAGATTTCGAACCAAATTTGAAAAAAAGTGCTAAATATCAAACCACTAAATTAGTTTTTTAGAACCTTATATTGGTTATGTTTAAAGAGGTTCTCTTCTTTCAGAGTAACGATAATACTTTTTTAATAATGAAAATTTCTTTTAGATGTATAATTAATTACACTACATCAGTTTGTATTTTTTTCGGAAATCGGCCCACTCGACAAAAGAAAACAAGATACGCATTGGAGTTTCGAAAAATATATGTTATAAATGTTATTCACAATATATTTAAAAAAAACATTGATTAATGGTGATTCAAAAAAATTGCATATTTTAAAAGTTTGTTTAAATCTTTATTAATTAAATTACTTAATGAATCATTTAGATTGTATAATTAAGAAATTATATTTATGGCAATAAATTCATAAAAACAAACAAATGCTATCATCAAAAAATAGTGATATTATAATATATTTATTAAATTTTCGATATTTTTTATAGAACTGGATAATTATTTTGAAAGGATAAAATTACCAATTCAAATTTTCAATGATTTTTTTTCAGATACATAATTTCAGCGACTTGTTTTTTTATTTTTTGATAACCTTTTTTAAATCATACTATTTTCATAAAATGTTTTTAAACCATTATTTTTAAAACGTTAAATATTAATTAATAATCTTAACTATTGATTGTTAATTTTAATTTTGAATTTTGAAATACTTTAATTATTGATTTTTGAATACTAATATTTGAATTATTAATTATTAATGATTTAAAAATTTCAAAACTTTTTTTTAAAAAACTTTTCAATCTGTAAAAATTTTTTTTTGAATAATATGTCAAAAATCATAGATTAATAAACAGTTTTAATTATCAAAATATATCTTTTTTGTATGTCTAGAAAAAATAACTCTTGGTCAAAATTGCAAAGTGCAAGAGTTTTGGTTAAAAAAGTAATTATTAAAAAATAATAATATACTTTATGTTGTACTGTATTTGTTTATTAAAATAAAACTTAATAAATTTCTATTAAAAAAATTTTTATTTACTATTATAACAAAAACACTTATAACTATACATATCTCATCTAAACAATCTTTAAATATTTGTTTCAAAAAGTAATATTTTATTTTTCTTAAGTTTTGTTTTTTGCTAATAATAATTAATACAAAAATTTCTCTATAATCTTTTGACTAATTATTAGTTCTTATTTATATTTTTCAACACAAAAAACTAAAATTAACTTTTTTTTATTATAAAATTTATAACATATTAATAATTAATTACACTTTATCTTATCTTACTATATCAAAACTATATAATAAACTAACAGATTGAAAAAGTATATAATTAATATTTTATATAAATTCTAGTAATTTAAATTTGTAAATATTAAAACAATATAATAAACAACTAAAATTTCAATTATTTAATTTATTTATATCTTAGACATAATATCAATCTATCAATTATCAAAACTTTTCAATATTATTATTAAAAATAAAATTATAATTAACAAGTAAAAATACTATTGTTAAAAATAATAATAATCAAAATCTAATTAATTTTTTTTTGTAGATACATATTGTTTTTTTATTTAATTTATATAGAATTAGATATATATTATAAAAGAAATAATATTTTTTATGTGTAATACTACAATAAATTAAATACTAGCTTGTCTATAATAATTGTTTAATTAATATTGAAAAGAAATTTTCAAAATAATATATTTTGTTAAGGGACTTTAACCAGTTATAATTATTTAATTAGCATTGAATGAAAAAAAATTGAAATAATTAGATGAGTTAAAGCTTCTATTAATACTTTAATCCAGTTGAAAAAATTAGTTATAAAAAAAATATTATTAACAATATTATATGCAAGTTTTGTTAACTGTCAAGTATGTGAAATTAGTTTATAATTATCTTTGGAATGAAGGATATTGTTAATAGTATTAATAAGTTGATTAATTTTTTCTAATTTTATCAAGTATTTAAATATATATTGGATTTTTTTGATGCAAAAACTATATCTGAAACAATATAAATTCTGATATTGATTTGAATATAATTTATAAAGATTGTCTTTTATAAGAAATGATTTTAAAAATAGCTTGATTCTGAAAACAATAAGGTCATTAAATTTGTTGACTTTTGTATTTTTAATATTTTTATTAATAATTTTAAGACCATAGAGCTTATAAGTATAACCAAATGTTTTTAGAACTAATAAGCTTTTACAGATTATATAAATTTTGATGATACTTAAAATTTCTTGCACTATCTAATACTGTTATCAGGTTATAAATCATTAATTAATAGACTTTCAGAAAAGTAAAATGAAAAATTGATCTATTAAATGATATTATTAGGTCTTAAGTTAAATTTGGAATTGATATATATAATTTGAATTAACTTATTTTATATTAATTTGTTAATTTTCATTATTATTAATAAGAAGTTAATTTTTATTATTCTTGAATAGTTAAAGACTTTTTGGATTATTTTCTTGTTATTTTTTATTTCTATAGTACAATTTGACAGGCAACAATATGAAACATTTATTATTATATACAATTTTATATTACAAATTTTATTTATTTTCTTTTATATTTATATTTTATTTATAAATAATTACAAAGTTTTTAATTTAAATAAAGTTAAATTTTAATAATAAATAATTTTTTTTTTATATTTAATAGTTTTTTAAAAAATATTTACTATAATAAATAATAAATTAATATATACATAATAAAATAGTTATAATTATGTATCTAATATCTTAATATTAAATGTATAATTACAAATTATTCATTTAATAAAATTATAAGACATGTTTTATTTTAACAAAAAAATTATTAATGTCTTAATTGTTTATTTTTGATTTTTAATATTTTATTAAAATATTTATATAAATAAAATTTACAAGATATAAATTCTATATTTTTTAAATAGTTTAATATAATTTTAATATAATAAATAAGTATTTATATTAATTATTAGATTATAAAATCTACAAATTTATAGCAAAGTAATAATACTTTAAAATTTATATTATATAAATCTAAATTTAAATTTATTACAAAATAAAATTTATTAATTTCATTTAATAACTAATTATTATTTAATTAAGTATTTTCTTAAATAAAAGAAAAAAAAAACCAAAAAACAATATAAAAATTATATTATTAATATGTCTTATAATTAGTTACCAGATTAAATATATTTATAAGATTATAATGTATTTGTATCAATTATAACTCTTTAATATGTTTAACAGAAATAAATTAAATTAAATATTAACAAAATTTTAAATTAAATATAAAAATTTACTTGTTTTTATTTATTAAAAAGCTTTAATAAAAATAAATTTATAAATTATATTTAAGAATTAAAACCATAGTTCAAATTATTGTATATAGTAATTTAATAATCTAATTATTCTATAAAATTATTAAAAAAAAATAAAAAATATATTATATATTTTATTAAAAGTACTAATAGTTAATTAATATCAATAGTAATAGTGGTTTTGGTGATATTTGTTATGTTTAACAAATATATAATGTAATCAAAACTAGTTATTAAATAAGAAAGACCCATTGGACATATTACTTTGATAGATTTACTTCTATAAAGTGTATATCGAGAGAATATAATTTTTTGAATAATTAAACTACTTTTCAAAATATATAATAGTATTGATGATATATATTCTTAATAGTTAATAAGATGTAATAGTAATAGTTAATTAATATCAATAATTAATTTTTTTTTTTAAAAAAAGCAATTAAATAAAAAAACTTTTTTTAAAAGAAATTATTTAATATAAAAAATTTTACGAGTCAATTATATTTTTGTGAAAAAGATATTATACAGTATATAAAAAAAAAACAAAACTTTTTATATTGAATAATATTATTTAAAAGTTAAAATATTATATATATATATATATATAGTAATGATAAAATAGCAATTATTATTTTTTTAAAAAAAATCATCGATTAACTTTTATAAATTTTAGTAATAATTTGATCGTTTGTAATTTTCTTTATTTTAAAAAATATATATATTTTAAAGAAACTAGATAATATTTTTGCATTATATTTTGATTAAAATAAAATAAAATATGTAAGTATTTTTAAAAGAAATGATAAATTTCATATCGCCAATAATTTCAAGGTTAAATCCGAATATACAGTAGGATTATCTTTATTTACAATTTTATTTAATCACATTGGTTGAATACCATTTTTATCGTATGGATCATTAATTTTTTTTTTTTTTAAAAAAAAGGTTCAAGTTTGTTTTATTATAATATGCTACATATACAGTATATACGGTATCGGGTCTACAAATTCCATTTTTGATCGATCCCCGTCATCATATTCTAGAATCGTGGTCTGCTTTTCCGCGTGTTTACATTTTAATTTAAATTATCATGAAATTAATTTTTTTCCAAAAAGATGTACCAATTGCATTTGTAATGGTTAAAAAGATTCTTAGATTATCCATGTACAGTATATACAGTATTTATTATCACAGAAATTTCAAGTATTTCAACATCTCTTAAATTATTCGTATCGACTTGATTTGAAGATGACTGTTTTTTACGTACTAACATCAGGTGAAGTTAGGTGGAAAAACCTTGAATTTCCAAAAATCGGTATCACAATTTTCCACAGCGTGGATTTTAAATGGGAATCGGGCATCCGAAGAATGTAAAAAAAGGAACTTATATAGGTATACGCGAGGCATGTCGTTACACGCTTATGGGATAAAGAGACAAAATTTGACATTCGTAACTTCTCAATTTGGAGAAAATTCTGGTGAATTACGTCTTGCGCTGCCCATATATAATGTGCACAAGAATGACTTTTTACCGAGTCTCACATGTGAGATAGAGAAACGGTTGATTCATGTGGCCGCCGCTCACATATAAAAAGTTCCAATAAGATCTGCTATTTGAAAGTGAGGTGTTTAGTACAAATAGATTTATAATAAAATTCTTGGCTAAAACGTTCCAGAAATTTTGATTGGGTCATGTGTGTGGGGTGGTATGAAATAGCGTTGTGCGAGTCAGTTGCTAAATCGGAACAAGGACGACAGATGCCTCGAGACATGTATAAAAGTAAAAAAGTGATAAATTTGTCGAGGTTTTAAATAAACAATAAATTTGTCAAGGTTTTATTCAATCGGCAATTCTTTTCTGGATTAGACAACTTTTTGCGGAAATCGTCAAAAAGAGTGGTTCCCTAATTCGGGGGAACACAAGAGGCACATGCTTCCGAAAGATTTAATTAAACCGAATAGAGACAAGAAAGTTTACGAGGCGTACTGCAGGAACGCGTGCGATAGCTGTAGGAGAGTTTTTTGTTTTTATGCATCCTGATGGATAGATCGCGTACACGATGTTAGACTAGTATAAATGCAGTCCGGATATTTTTTTTTTTCTTTATTTTTTTTGCTATACCACGATCATCGGATAAGGTGGTGATTGAGATTACGTAATTTTAATTACACATCTTTTTACTAATCACAAATCTCGTAAAAAGGAAACGGTAAACTCGCTCAATTCTCGGTCTCCGAACATTTCGTAGATGTTTGTTTGTGCAATGTGCGCTCGAATAAGCGCGAGGAATTTTGTGAGAAGCTGCGGTACTTACCGATAGGGTTAAGATTATCTTGGAAATTATGTCAGCATCACAACATCTTGCGATCTCTTCGGTTGATATTAATAAGTCGACAATCCAAAAAAGGATTCCAAATATTTATGTTTAATATATGTGCACTACCATATCACCTTACACAGCATGATAAGAACGCGCAAAGAAATGAGGCGCAGCGAAATCCAGATCAGAATTTTTCCGTAATTTGAAGGATCCTGATGACCGACGGAAAGTTCCACGGAAATTCCAAAATGAAAATCCCGATGCTTTGACAGTTTCACCGAACGTAGGTCTCGCGTGGTGAAATTGATGGCGGGTACATTTTCGCGTTTCAAGAAAAAAAGAGGAAAAACCGAGTTTTTTTATAAAGCGGTAGGAAATTTTGGTTTCCATGAAAATTGGCGGTGTCCTTTATCTTATTCCAGGTTCTACAGAAAACCGAAAATCGTGATATGTTTGACAAGTGGGCGGCTTAGTATCTGGTATAACATACAACCGAGGCAAACAGAAAAGGATAAAAGAACCTCATAAGCCCAAGCCAATTGACCTTTTGTGATCCAAGAATGCATGAGGATAAAATTGTATTACACTATGCAGAGATGTTGTTGTTTATTCATTCATTCACTCATTAAGAGTAAGTGTCTCTTTCCCCACTTGGTTTACGTTTTTTATTATTTCCTTCTTTTCTTCCATACACACGACAACCATTCAACTTGATGGTGACGAGTGAAACATCGCACGAAAACCGTGCTTGGGTCCTACAAAACTGTAAACCTTATTATTATTAGAATGGTTATGTGGTCACTTTTCACAACTTGTTGGTCCTTTCAATTACGCCAGCCTTTTCGCGGTACGACCTTGAATTGAGAAATTTCCAATTCCGTCAGATTCTTATCAGTTCCATCAGTTACGACCCTTTCTAAAAATGATGCCAATGTATATATAATGAGGTCACGGGTGAATAAAATACACCCTAAACGTTTTTTCACCGACAAATCATTTCACGATTCTCTTTGTCACCGCCGTCATTCTAGTTCATTCGGTTCGTTGAATCCCGATTCAATTCACTCCAAATTTAGTGAGTTTTCTATGTATTATGTATGAGTCAATGGATATTATGGCACGTGACATGAAAGAGAATTCTTTCAGCATACAATACGCACGAAGAATCACAACAGTATGAGGATGCAAATCATATACAGTAGCTCGATTTTCACAAATCCATAACCCTCACATAGTGTGCCACCTTGAATCGCCAAATGCGCATGTATTCTAGGCGTAGCACCTTTTTTGAAACGTGCTCCGATTCAAATAATAATTGCACCTCGGTGTGCTGCATTTCGGGGCAAATCTTTTATTTGGTAACGTGCTCAGAAAAAAAGAAGAGAAAACGTACATACAGTACATACATACATACATTACAGTACCTAACTACGTGCCGATATACATATCTTAGATCTGATACCGTACCTATTGAAGATTTATTGCGACATATTTGCATTTTTCAAGTTACATTGCATGATTTATGCGTGAAGATAGTGTATATAAAAGGACATTGATCCTAGACTAACTGAGCTTTTTATCGGCATTGATAAAAAAGTGTGTTTAATAAAAAATTTTCTAACCTAGAAGAAACTCAGATAAATGCTAAATGTTGTGTCACTAAATAATTTCGAATAACTCAGATTAACTTCATCAATTTTTGTAAACCTTTTTTGTGTCCGTGTGTCGCCCTGTACGTTAATTAAATTCCGAAGGCTATTTATTCACCGCATACATGGAATCTTTTGTTTTTTTTGTTTTTTTTTTTTTGGAGTTGAGATATTCTCAGCTGTAGATACGAAAAAAAAAAAAAAAAAAAAAAACTTGTTTATAATTTGTTGATTTCATTTCATTTTTTATTTTTATTTTTATTTTATACATTTTTATTTTATTTTTTATTTTATTTTTTTTTTCCCGTTATTAAAACATATCGCGATTAGCAATAAAAAGGTGATCCTTTCAACTCACCCCCTCCCACAGTATAAGAAGATCATTTCCTCTGACCATCCGTATGTTTACTTTTCTCTAAAAAAATATAACAATC